ACCTGCGTGCCCACAGAAATAATTTCAAAAATGGATCCTTAAGACAATGTTAATGAACTGAATTTAAATTTATGATTTTGACCTAGCGTAGTTGGCAAGACTTCAAACATTTTTAAAGACAGTGATTATAATTATTTCAATAATAAAAGCTAATGTGGTAGTATAAGAATATTTGAAACTAAAACGTAACTGTGTTGAGATAAGAGAGGCTTCCAAGGTCTTGAAAAGTATTAAAAACGTTGACCACAATCCAGCCCCAAGTCTCAGGGTCAGGTTATTATTGGTTTTATTGGTTTCATTATTGCTTAATCGTTTCCTTGGGAAATGGCCATGATCTAACCCAGGCTTTATCAAACTCAGCCCTCCAGATGTTTTGAGACTACAATTCCCACCATCCCTGACCACTGGTCCGGCTAGCTAGGGTTCATGGGAGTTGTAGGCCAAAACATCTGGAGTCGCCCGAGTTTGAGGAAGCCTGATCTAACCTTTCCACACATGGACAGCAATGCACGCCAGTTCTAAATATAGAGGGCCAGAGGGAAGCCATTGAGCAGGCCTGCTCCAAGACATTTTGCTGCCTGGAGTTTAGGACAATATGCCACCCTCTCCATCCTACAGAAACCAACTGGACTGGAGGGTGGCTTACTTCAACCTCCAGCTATGGGACAGAGTTCTCCACCACACCTTGAGGACAGCAGGCTAGTTTAATGCGCACAAAGCAGGTGCACAGCTCCATTTTCTAGCAGAAGGGGACTCAGGAGGTATGGTGGGTGGAGCAGGGGTGAAGGAAGGAGAACTAGGACCTGGTGTGGAGTGTCGGGGGTGGAGCAAACCATATGTACGGTGCAGGCGCAGCACTGCTACGTAGGGCACATGCGTGCATGCCACTATATACGGTGGATGCACACACACTGTATGTAGGGCGCATGCATGCTATCGTCTGTAGTGTTGCCGCGCATGTATCACGCGGCACCGCTGCTGGAGCACCGTACGGGCAGCGGCAGAGGGTGCAGCCGTGAGTGGAGGATCCTCGATGGCAGTGGCTCACGATGCCACGCCCGGGGCAGCAAGGCAAGCCCGCCGCAGGGTGCCTTCTTGTCACCCCCCCACTCAGAGATGGCACCCGGGGCGCACTGCACCCCCACTCCCCTTCCTCTGCCACTGGGTGGAATATTGCTGCTGCCACTGCATGCACACCAGAACCTGCCACCTGATACACCAAACTCATTATTGTCCAATGGTAGGGCTGGCCCTTACGCTGAACAAAGGATGGCTAAAGAGCAAGGAGGATGAGAAGTGAGAAACAGCATGGGCTGGCCTTGGCTATTCTCCTTCCTACCAATTGCCTCTTGAGAGTCCCTTCCTTGAGCACATCTAGTTACGCAAGTGCACACTGGAAGTTACTCCGGCTACTGATCTGTCCAGCAACAGGAGTATGCCAGCATATAGCTTGTTGCCCCCCCCCCGCCCCCAGATTGAGCAAATTCTTCTACCTGTGAAGAGACAGAATTCTTTCCATTTCCACTGCAATAATTGGCTACTCTTGAAGCCAGCAAGATGGTGGCTTTTATAACCTGAGCTCAAGTCCTCTTGTGCCATCATTAGAGATGGGGGATAAATTCAATTCAGTTTGCATTTAAAGGCGTACTTATCCAGTTCACACTCTCCTGCCCTGCCCTGCCATTAAAGAAAAAGGCTAACTGAAACACAGTCATCCTTCAACATTTGCATTTTTCTGAATTATGTCATGCTGTTCTCCCTCCAGGTTATGTATACAAAATATCATATACTGGGTTAAAGTGTGCATATAAATGCACATGGTAGTGTTATGTATTTTGTTGAATTCTCTGAAATTCAAGAGAAAATGCACAGTAAGACACCACTCCCATCATGGAATATCCATGGGGAAACAATGGGAAAGGTCTGGGGATCGGATATCCCCAGCCGATGTGGACAGACTCCTCCGAGCTGGAAAGCCCACCACCTGTCCTCTTGACCCGTGCCCGTTTTGGCTGATTAGAGCATGTCCAGACGAGGTGTGGGCCCCCCTGGGTGATATCATCAATTTGTCCCTTGGCACCGGGATATTCCCAGGGGAACTGAAGGAGGCAGTGGTGCGTCCGCTCTTAAAGAAAACATCATTAGATCCCTTAGATCTATCCAATTACCGCCCGGTTTCGAATCTTCCATTCCTGGGTAAGGTGATTGAGAGAGCGGTTGCTGAACAGCTTGGTAGGTTTCTGGATGAAACATCGGCTCTCGATCCATTCCAGTCCGGCTTCCGCGCAGGTCATGGGACCGAGACAGCTCTGGTCGCCCTAACAGATGATCTCCGCAGGCAGCTGGATCGAGGCGGGTCAGGGCTGCTGATTCCACTAGACCTGTCAGCAGCCTTCGACATCGATCACGAACTCCTGGACCACCGCCTTGCCGACGTGGGGATCCGGGGCACAGTCCTTCAATGGCTGCGCTCATTTCTCTCTGGTCGGGGACAGAGGGTGGCGCTTGGGGGGGAATTGTCATCGCGCCACTCCTTGGTGTGTGGAGTGCCTCAGGGTGCGATTCTCTCCCCGATGCTTTTTAACATCTTTATGCGCCCCCTCGCCCAGCTTGTCCGGAGTTTTGGGCTGGGTTGCCATCAGTATGCCGATGACACCCAACTCTATCTGTTTATGGGTGGCCATCCTGACTCGACCCCAGACACATTGACCAGATGTCTGGAAGCTGTGGCTGGATGGTTACGTGGGAGCCGGTTGAAGTTAAATCCTTTGAAGACAGAGGTCCTCTGGCTGGGACGGGGCGATATGGGATTGAGGGGGCAACTCCCATCTCTTGCGGGGGTGCAATTAGTGCCAGCATCGTCCGTTAAGAGTTTGGATGTAATCTACGATACCTCCCTCTCTGTGGAGGCACAGATTACAGCTATAACAAAGGCGGCATTTTTTCATCTCCGCCAAGCTAAGCAGTTGGCTCCTTATCTCTCTCGCCCTGACCTAGCCACTGTGATCCACGCGACGGTCACCTCCAGATTGGATTATTGTAACTCGCTCTACGTGGGGCTGCCCTTGAGACTGACCCAGAATGCCGCGGCAAGACTCCTTATGGGGTCTTCGCTGCGAGATCATATTCATCCGGTACTATACCAGCTGCACTGGCTCCCGGTGGAGTACAGGATCAGGTTTAAGGTGCTGGTTTTAACCTTTAAAGCCCTATATGGCCTAGGACCCTCATACCTACGGGACCGCCTCTCCTGGTATGTCCCACAAAGAAATTTACGGTCTGCAAATAAAAACATCCTGAAGATCCCAGGCCACAGAGAGGTTAGGCTGGCCTCAACTAGAGCCAGGGCTTTCTTGGCCGCGGCTCCAATCTGGTGGAACGCTCTGTCACAAGAGACTAGGGCCCTGCGGGACCTGACATCTTTCGCAGGGCCTGCAAGACAGAGCTGTTCCACCAGGCCTTTGGTCAGGGCGCAGCCTGACCCCCTCCTCTGGCAATCTGCACAGAATTTTGCTTAATGGTTGCCATCAATTTGATTTTAATTAATTTTATAATGAATGTTTTTAGAATGCTGGATTATTTTGATTGTTGTTAGCCGCCCTGAGCCCAGCTTCGGCTGGGGAGGGCGGGATATAAATAAAATTTATTATTATTATTATTATTATTATTATTACACATAGAAGGTCCTGGTTTAAATTTCTTGCATCTCCACTTAGGGCGAGGAAGACCCCTATCCTGCATGGAAACCCTTAAGGACTGCTGCCAGTTAGTATTGACAATATGGAGCTAGATGGGCTAGTTGTTTGAATCTGCATAAGGCAATTTCTTGTGGCCATATGCTTAGCTGCAATTACTGTGAGTTGATTTCAAGATGCCCATTCTTGTCTCTCAGTGAGAGTCCCAGCGACCTACATAATGTCACCTAACAAAGCAGTGCTTTCAAAATCACCTGCAACAGATTTCCAATTAATAGTAAATAGATAGGAGCTTCAGTAGGTTTCTTCGAAACGAAACAGAACAAAACAAAACAAAACAAAACAAAACAAAACAAAACACACAAGCTCCCTGCTTCCAGATCTCAGCACAGCACCCCAAGCAAAGCACAGCAAACTGGCAAAGTCTTGCTGAAGTGTCTCACTCTTGTGCTGAAATGCAATTATTGGCCGATGGTGGAAGACTCAGGCCCTTGTTTCTCCATGCCCACATTCACTCCAAGCTGATAATAAAACTAATCACGGCTTGGAAATAATGTGCTTGTGCAAACCGGTCAATTTCCTAGTGGTTTCACACACTTAGGTTATCAAAGGCAATTGCCTTCAGGTGTACCGTCACTCTTTATTATCACCACTCTGTGTTTCGGTTCCTGCAAGCATGTACGGAAGAGACCAAGTTGTCCACTTGCGTAAGCATGGGAAATTGCCTGTGCACAAACCAAAGCAGCACAACCCAGCTTTCTGTGTGCACAACTAGATTCTAAATGTGCTCCCATCTCAAACCCCTTTCCTCCTACTCAGTTCCTTCTTATGCTTCCCCACCCTCCTGTTCCTCAAGGTATAACACACTTTATAAAAATAATGATTAAAAAAAGCTCTTCCTGCTCATTGCCTGGTCCTCAGAACAGAGGCATCAGAACAATACCCTGCTCCCCCTACCTTGATCTTCATATATGCTTCATCCTACCCCCTTCACGACAATGACACCAAACATGAAAAGCGAGCAGAAAGAGAATGAGAAAGAAGCAGTAGCAGCAAGCACACTGAGGACTCTAACAATGGTGCAGAGATTGTTAAAACTGACAAACTGGAGAGTGCTTTCTACAGGCAATACAACAAGTATCTCAGTTGGTTACCGATGTTAAGCTTCAGCTGATCAGTAGAGGGAGGGGGAGAGAGAGAAGTGCAGGTTCTAAAAAAGAAAAGAAAAACCTGGTGGTTTTTTGTTAAAAAAAAGAAGAAGAATAAAAGAAAAAGGGAAGAGAAAGAGAAAGCCATTGCTGAACTGCTAGATCTTCTCTTTAATTTCGCCCAAGTGTCCTCTCATTCTTAAGTGGAGGGCTATCAACACTTTCCTTGTTTTATCAAGGAACAACTCATTGTTTCAAGATATATGGAGGGTTTTCCTTCTTTTTCTAGCTCTGTGCAAAATCTCCTGCATTGGGCTTGGTCATTGTCTAAGCGCCTCTCCCTCCTTCGCACTGCAAGATGCTGAGACTGGGAAAAGAGCACAAACAGCATCCAGCCAATCAAATTATAGAACAATGAGAAGGTCAAGTAGCATCCCATATTGCTATCCTTCATGGAATACATTGAAGGAGGTTTCTTCTTCTTTTTTTTTAAGGTAGAAATTTAACCCCTAGCTCTAGCTGCTTTACTCATGGTCCTTGTTAGTCGGATAAAATAGAGCAGGATGTCCCGCTAAGCTAAAGCAAGCAGGAGAGTAGAAAACTCTAAGATAGCAGGTTACAATTAAATATACTGCTTTGCCTCCCTTATTCTGCCTTCCAATGGCAAAGGGAGAGAGAAAAAGTTGCCAGTAAGAAGGGCACTGATGTGTCTTTTTTATTATTATTGGAAGAAATGAACTACAGTTTCGATCTCACTAGGGGTTTCTGTGGTAAATGGAGCTTTTCTTCCTTTAGGTTTATTTTAGTTCTCCAACTGGCAAGGTGTTAGAACATGAAGGCACCTTCTATTATACCCAGAGCAAGGCAGGGATTCCTTTATGATGGCTTCTCCTTGCAGTTAAAGGAGGGGGGGGGAATTAAAGTACATGCAAGGAAGTAGAGGACATATCTTAATAATATTCATACTTCCATTCAAAATCTAGGTGTGTGTGGACACATGCCTTGCAATTATATCAATGCGGTGCCCAATAAACAGCACATACTGTAGATGTGTGTTTAATATACTGTATTTGCAAAGTTTTGATCACAGACTAGGCAGTGAAAATGAAATTAAGCCGTATAACTTTTTAATTACTGTATATTGGCACAACATACCACAGCAGGCGCTGTAACTCTCCAACAGTTTGACTACATCCCCCAAAGGTGCCCTCTTCCATTGTCTCCTAAGGCAGACTGACGCCAGCAACGTACCTTACCGGTTTTCATAATTTTCAAATGCGATGAGACATATTAATTTATTTAAAGGAGAACCAGTCTGGTTTGGGTTACACGCAGTAATTGTAATAATTCTTGTCCCTAACATGGCTAAGGGGCTTTAGAATGTTCGTTGTTTAGTTATGCCTTACATTTATATACCGCTTCATACCAAGGTTTCTTCTGTTCATATGTACCATCTCAAAATCCTCGTCGCAACCATTTAAAGCTGGCAGTTGTCATTCTTGTCATACTGCAGTCGGTGGGGATAAAACTGAGCAACAGGGCGTGCCGAGGAGTAGAACTACACAGTGGATTGGATTGTGAGTTGCCCTTCCACAAAGAGCAAGGGTCCTTTGTGCATGGAAGGGGCTCCAATCAGCATTTGAAATTTGCATGGTGCATTTTGCAACAGGCTATCGGCCACTTGCGACCAAGTGTACATGCCTGGGTGCCAGGATAGCGCCTAATGTCTCCACCATTTGGAGGTGCACGCCTAGAGATCTTGACTGTATTCACCCACTAGCACCACATCCTGTAGAATTCTATACATTATATTTTGTCTGCACAACCAGATTGAATTTCAGGAACCAGAAAGCCATATTAAAAAATACAACTTTAGAGCTGTCTGGCCTAAGGCATTCCGTTTTGGCAACTGTAACCCTGGTTTAAGGAGCCATTTGGTGCATGGCTTATACAGTCGTACCTCGGAAGTCTCATGGAATCCATTCTGAAAGTCTGTCTGACTTCTGAAATGTTTGGAAACCAAAGGGCGGCTTCCGATTGGCTGCAGGAGCTTCCTGCAGCCAATCGGAAGCCGTGGAAGCCCCGTCAGATGTTTGGCTTCCAAAAGAATGTTTGAAAACCAGAACACTCGCTTCCGCTTTTCAATCGTTCAGGAGCCAGAATGTTCGACGCCTAAGGCGTTTGGGAGCTGAGAGTTTCTAACACTGGCTTCAGCGTAAGGGAGCGTCCTGCTGCCAGAAGCTTTTATATTGGCTCTGTTAGATTGTAAGCCCAATGAGCACAGCCTATGCTGTTTGCTAACCTTTGGCTGTGTAAACACCCTATGTGGAACTGCAGTTTGTTAAGGGTGCTGGGAAATGTGGCTCTGTAAAGGATAACTATAGTTCCCAGGATTTTTTGGGGGGTGGGGGATAAAGTGTTTTAAATGTATGGTGTGTATGCAGTCTTTGTACAGAACCTACAACACTAGTAAGAGCTTTATAAAGTGGTACCTCGGGTTAAGAACTTAATTCGTTCTGCAGGTCCATTTTTAACCTGAAACTGTTCTTAACCTGAAGTACCACTTTAGCTAATGGGGCCTCCCGCTGCCGCCACGCCACCGCCACGCAATTTTTGTTCTCATCCTTTAGCAAAGTTCTTAACCCGAGGTACTATTTCTGGGTTAGCGGAGTCTGTAACCTGAAGCCTCTGTAACCTGAAGTCTCTGTAACCTGAAGCGTCTGTAACCCAAGGTAAAGGGACCCCAGACCATTAGGTCCAGTCGTGGCCGACTCTGGGGTTGCGGTGCTCATCTCGCTTTATTGGCCAAGGGAGACAGCGTACAGCTTCCGGGTCATGTGGCCAGCATGACTAAGCCGCTTCTGGCGAACCAGAGCAGCGCATGGAAATGCCGTTTACCTTCCCGCCAGAGCAGTACCTATTTATCTACTTGCACTTCGTGCTTTCGAACTGCTAGGTTGGCAGGAGCTGGGACCGAGCAACGGGAGCTCACCCTGTCACAGAGATTAGAACCGCCGACCTTCTGATCGGCAAGTCCTAGGCTCTGTGGTTTAACCTGCAGCGCTACCTACGTCCCATGTAACCCAAGGTACCACTGTATAAATCCCATTGAACTGGCCAGGAATGTTTTAACTTGGAAGCATTCACAAGAGTACAGCAGCTTGGTTTTCTGTGCCCTCGTGTCACAATTTGGTAGCAAATGTCCATGAGAATGCAAGTGGGGAGCAGCAGGGGTGCAGCTAGTGTATGTGTCTGTGTGTGTGTGATGGGGGGGAACTGGGTTGCTATGTGATTCTGTTTAGAGAAGTGATGGGCAGAAGGCGGCAATGCCGTATACATAGCCACACCCAACCAAAAATTGCTTTCGTGCTCTTAAGCTTTGTCCTTCCCTTTATTCCCCCATCACAATGAACAGGGGGTGGAATAGGTTTTCAATGACAAAAGAGCCCGGCAGAGAGCTCAAGGGAAGAAAGGAAAAGGCAAAAATGTTTTCATAGTGACAGCGAGACACCCTTCTCATTAACATTAATGGGACATACGCATACGCATAAAAGGAGAGCAGACTCACACCGCTCCTGGCCCTTGACCAAAATGGAACCGGTCAGCAGGATTTTCAATTCATTAGGTCGATGAATGAAGGCTTCCACTTCACTTCAAGAAAGATTCCAGCAATGAGACACTGAATTCGTTTTTCATTCCAACTTCTCCAAATTTTTGTTGCCCGGGGTGAGCAAAAAGTAGGGCTGGCGTTTCATTTTTTCATATTTTTTTAAGAGGACACGGTGAGTGGAGTGGCTTTTCAGTATGTGGGAGGGCATTTCTCTAGTTTATAGATTAAAAACTATGAGTCACGTTTAGGGAAGAATAACTGAGGAAGAATAACCCATCCGCTCCACCATTAGATGACTATATGGATGTACTACAGCATATAGGGCAGTCACATTTTGTGTTAGGTTTATATCCAGAGCATGAGTTATAAGGGATCCCAGTCCCTTTATGTTCTGAGAAAGCCCTCCTAGATACTATCCTTAAAGCAACCTTCCAAGTGCCCCAGAAAAAACAGGACATTGTGGTCCCCCCCCCCACAAGATTTCTGTGGCCATTTTGAGTGCTGCAATCTCTCATGCTCATGTTCCTCACTTTTGCCCCACGAAAAGCACATGGGGGGGGGGAGAGTGAGGCATGGATTACAAGACTCACCCAGGAGTGCGTCCCAGAATATGCACATCTTTTTCACATCAGAAAAGTTGGAAGCTATGCTTAAAGGCTACAGGGTGGGGAGCATATTTTGGTTACAATGGGACCAAACTTGAGCTTGTGGGTCCTCCTGTACTTTGAGCACATGTCCAATACTTTTCCAAAACTTAGAAATAAAAGTGTGTGTGTGGAGTATCAAGCAAAAAGATATTACACAGCTTTCAGGAGATTTTCAGGTGCAGGTCCTATGGAGGTAAATGGGGTATGAGTGGTATTTGTGTTTACTAGTCACATTAATTGAAATACTGCATTGAAGGTTATATTACTGCAATATGTTATATGTGAGGCTGCTTCTGAAGACAGTTTAGAAACTGCAGCTAGTGCAGAATTCAGTGGTCAGTTCACTCGCCAGGACAAGATGGTTTGAGCATGAAACACCAATCCTGTCCCAACTGCACTGGCTACCAATTAGTTTCTGGGTCCAATTCTAAGTGCTGCTTTTGACCTATAAAGCCTTAAATGGCTCAGGACTGCGATAGCTCAGAGGCTGCCGCTCTCCATATGAACCAACCTGGACCCTGAGATCATCTTCTGAGGCCCTTCTTCATGTACTTCCTCTGTGTGAGGTCCATAGGGTGGCAACATGAGAACGGGCCTTTTCTGCAGTGGCTCCTCATTTATGGAATGCTCTCTCCAGGGAGGTTCAGCTAGTGCCTTCATTACATATCTTTAAGTGCCAGGCAAAAACATCCTCTTTTCCCAGGCCTTTGGCTTCTTGAATAATCTAAACTGGGGTGGGGGAGTAATTGCTTTTGTTCATTACTATGGTATGTATTTTTGTGTTATTATATAGTAAACCACCCCGTGACCCTTGAATGGTGTCATAGAGATGAACTGGTGCTTGATAACCTTCAGCCTAAGGCTCCCACTTATATGCCAGTGTTGGGGAATAGAAGGCAAACTTTCATAAAATGAATCAATCAGACCTGTATATTTCTGATATCATGTATTCATCTATCCTGTCTGGTAAGAGCCCTCCAGGTAGGGGCGGACTTTGCTACTATTGGTGCCCTGAGCTGGGCCTAAAGTTGGTGCCTCCAACCCTTGTGCCATGCTGGTCTTTGGGAAAGATGTACGAGGCTCTGGCAGGGTCCTAGAGCCCTCCCTTCTCATTCCCAGTGCTCCCCCCCCCCGAAAAAGAGATGCTGGAACTCACCATGAACACCACCCTTGTTCTCTTATAATGGCAATGGTGCCCACCTGAGAGGTCCCAGAATGGAGTTCTGATAAGTTCCAGGTGGGAAAAAACCCTGCTTCTTCCCAAAGCTGAGCAAGCACTAACTAGTTTTTGGAGAGAAGGAGGGAGAACTCGACCCTCTCAGTGCCCTCACACCTCCTTCCTGTAGCCAGGCAAGTGCTTACCAGGTGCCCTCTCCACTCAGCACCCAGTGTGGGAAAACTGGTCACGCTGCCCTAAAACTGCCTCTGCTCCAGGGTTTCAAGAGACTTGGGGGTGTGTCTTGGTCCTATCTGCTTCTTGTGCCATACAATGTTTTATGATGGTTTGAGACATGTTGGATTGGCCTGACAGGCAAACATGAGGCCCTGGGAAATGCAAACTCTCTCTTAAGAATGATGACTCTTCTCCCTGATGTAACATCAGTACTTTAATAGAAAATGGGGGTGGGGGGACTGCCCCTTTATTATGCCATACAATTTTGCTTTAATGCTTTAGAATTAGTTTGCAGCTATTGCTATGATGAATGTGCTACCGAGATAGGCTTGATATAGTCCAAGTGGGAATAAGAACCTCAGGCACACTATATTAAACACACACACTGGGAATTTTAAGCAACTTTGAGGGCATCCTTACACAAAGTCCACTGACATATTCAAACTGGAGACGCTTTATAAATAATTAACTTTTAAAAAATAAAAATATGAAATTATGTGCCCTTAGCTGGGACTATCTTTTAATGTGCTGAAGGTCTGATAATGTGTGGGTGTTATTTATGGATCACCGTTGGTTTTATTGTGATTTCATTGTCTATCTGTACTTTGTAACACGCGTCAGGTCCGTTAAGTCTGGGGGAAAATAGGACATAAATTAATCTAGGTGAATAACTAAAACAAAACAGAATTCCTCATTTTGCCCCCAAACTTCAGCTCCCCCCACCCGCCCCGTCACCTGCTGCCACCACCCCGATCATATCCCTGAAAGTCAGAAAAGCTTCAGAAATGCTAGTCTCAAGTTCCTCAATCTTCAGAGGAGGCCATTCATATAAATTTAGTAAAGACAGTAATGTGTGAATCTGATACCACCCTGACCCCACTCCACCTTCAAAAGCAACTCAGCAATCTTAAACAGTAAAATTCAAACAAAAAAAGACACCTCTGCGGCTGCCAAACAGATAGATAGCCTATGCCTGAACTCAATTTACAAAACAGGGACATCACTGTATGTTAGCCACTTTAATAGATTCAAGTTTATTTTCAGAATATACATCTACCATCAGCGGTCTGCAGAGTGGAAGCAGAACTGAATAATGCTGACTGAGAAAAGTCACCAGAGAGAGGAATATAAAGGAAGCCAATTAACCCTTTCTAGATTTTTTTTTTTAAGCCCCACAAATTCCCTTAACATTCCTCCAAAAGGGGGGGGGGGAGTCTAGCTGTAACACACCACCATTTTGACCATTAAAATTATTTTGGACCCGAATATGCACTATGTATTGTGTGGCAATCGGACTATGTGTGTGTGTGTGTATATATATATATGCACACACAAACACACACTTAAATTCAATCCCATTACACAAGATGAAACAATGCAGGTTGCATGTGGCCATTCGAACTACCTAACTATTGTCAGGAAAAACGGAAAGTACCTGAGATGTCTGGCCCACGGTGGGGGTGGGGGGGTGGGAAAGTGTTACTAGAACAGTAACAAGCTGCAAGCAATCTATGAATCTAGAAATGGCAGTAAATAGGATTGCTTTCAGTTTATGAGCTGGTAAGCCTCTTTCCGAGAGTAGCTCATGGTGACTGACAGTTAAAGCAGCGCTTGTGCTACATGCCAAGCGGCACAAGGCCATGAAGACGGATGGCACTGGAAGGAGCTGAGGGGGAGCAGCAAACGCTCGCCTGATGAAGCCACCTAGAGGGAAGATGAGCAAACAAGAGATTGGGGGAGGGAGCAATTAGCTTTAGCTGAGTTTCCTACGTTGCAGGGGGTTGCATTAGAAAGATGACCATTCCAGCTCTAGGATTCTATGTTTTTCTGCTTCAACAATATTTCATGATGATCCTATCCTTTTATGTGATTGTATTTTGTATAAACTATAAAAATTATAAATAAGACATGTTCTGTTAACAAACAAAACATTTTAATAGCTACCTTTCTATCGGCAGGACGGGGTGGGGCCACAAGAAGGAAACGAGGTTGGATGGGGGCCACTGTCAGAAAAAGGTTGGGAAACACTGGTGTAGACAATATGGCGCTAGGTAGATCAATTGTCTGACTCAGTATAAGGCAGTTTCCTAGGTTCAAGGTGTTAGCTGAAGGACTATCTCCACCCCCATCGTTCAGCCTGGACACTGAGATCCAGCACCAAGCGCCTTCTGGCGGTTCCCTCATTGCGAGAAGCCAAGTTACAGGGAACCAGGCAGAGGGCCTTCTCGGTAGTGGCACCCGCCCTGTGGAACGTCCTCCCACCAGATATCAAAGAGAAAAACAACTACCAGACTTTTAAAAGACATCTGAAGGCAGCCCTGTTTAGGGAAGTTTTTAATATTTGATGGATTATTGCATTTTAATATTTTGTTGGAAGCTGCCCAGAGGAGTGGCTGGGGAAACCCAACCAGATGGGCGGGGTATAAATAATAAATTATTATTATTATTATTATTATTATTATTATTATTATTAGCTTTAAAGCTCTTTGGATCCAATTTTATTTTATGTTGTTTATTTTCCCCACCATTAAACATAAGGGCCCAGGGTGGGTTACAACAGTATAAAAATACAATTTTAAAATAATTTAAAACCAATTTTCAATCAGAAGAAAAGGGTAGGTATGTGTGTGCATCTTCAGCATGTGACAAAAGCTTTGCAGGGAAGTGGCATGGGATTTCTGTTAAACTCCTTATCAGTAAGACCAGTGTCTCATATGCAACAGCATGGCCCAACCACAAACCTGGTAAGAACCTGTTAAGCGGCTTGAATGTTAAAGTGAAAAACAACTCCACATAAGGTACAAGGAAGCTTCTGATGCATGCAGTAAAAATGGGTTGTCTTTCAGGGACTGTGGTTGGTTGAGAGATGCTGATGTGCCAGGGTGGCAGAAGACATATTTTGCCTATATAGTGTGTGTCCTAATGCAAATGTTCTTGCAGACTCTTCGAACTCTGACCTGCAATGCATTACTGGATAAAGTCTGACTGGTTGGGAAATTGGTTTGAGCCTTGTATTTAAACCCCCAGGGGGAATTTCTCCCACAGAAGGTGCCAGACCCTCCTCTGTGAGGACAGCTTCTTCTCAGGCAGTAAAATATATTGGGTCAGCCCTGCCTACAGGCTTATGTCCACCCTAAGCAACCTTTGTAACTATCAGCCCAATACACTTTGCTGCCTCTTCTATTCCATGTCCAAGACTGGCTGGGTTGAAAGCTGAGCCTTTCTTCAACACTGAGGAGAGGAAGCCTGCTGCCCTGCTGCCAGGTGCAACGCAGGACAACTCAGAGGGTGAAAAGCAGGGCATGTGGTCACAAAGCTCCATCCTGCAACAACTCACAGCAGTTCCCTGCCCTGATGTGGTCACTTCACTCTGCCCAATGGTAGAATCGGCCCTGGTAATAAACTTTCTTGGTTATTAGCAAATAGTGATTCTACCCCCAGTATACTGAAACATGTATGTATTAAAGGATACATGGGCCCACACAAGCCATCCCTGGCACCCACAGGGTGTCCTCTACTCAATGAAAATAGGCTTGAAATAATCATTATGCTATAGGTAATAGATCTGTGCTCATTTGCAGGATGTGCGAGTGGTGGCCATAGCAGCTTTTCAAACGGTCCCCAAAAGGTTGGCAATCCCTGGATTACACTGAGAGAAATCCATCTGATTTCAAGTGTGCTCAGCGGCAATAGCTTCTCACCTACCTTCTGGTTCCTGTTGGCCCAACGTGAGAGGCCGCTCTGATAATAGAAGCTGAAAGGATTTTTTCCTGTTCCCAGGCATCACTTGAAGGAAGATCCTGAAGAGAGCCACAGCTTGAATAGTTAGCAGAGCTTTTCATGTACTAACTGAAAATGTACTGTCTCAGTCTCGTGGCATTTGGCCAGAAAGCAGCAGGGTTCTAAATCAGCAACAATGAGAGTAAACTTCTCTTTTCAGTTTGGGCAGGGATGTCAAAATGTAAGCAGTTCTCCAGGATAAGGCAGATAATTTCAGTGGCATATGTCTCAGCTAATTCCGATCTCTCAAAATACCACTTGCATTTATGAGGCATTATCTGTAGAAATCTAACCTCTCAAGGACGTCAACCCAGGGAAACAGATGGCTTGCAACTGCATGTTTAATCCTCAAATCAAATAACAGAATCAGCACTTCAGAACGACTGCTTATATAGACACTTTTGTCAGGCAACGTGGCTTATAGCTGTCCATCTTGCGAAACGTGGCCCAAGCGAGTGTGTTGATGTGCAGCCAAAGAGCAAATTTGTAAAGCAATTGGCTTCAAAGTATGACTCATGCATTTCCTGTCAGAGCCCAGGCGAAATCATTTTGCCAAACCTCTTCAGCGTGAGCGCAGCCCGCAGCTACCAGCTCATTGACTATTCCCCTTAATTGATTCTGAAACAATATGGAATATGCAAACACACAAAAGACTCCAGTGGAAAAGAAGGTGGTAAGTCCCCAGTTGATACCAGCGGGCTTTGCATTGTCATTTTTTGATAAGGGTGAGGAAACTGTGTTGCTAATGGGCATTCTGGAAATCACCAGAATTTAGTTATTATTTCTACATTTCATTTACTAAATTTATATCCCACAGTTTTTCCCAAAGGAGCCCAGGGCAGCACCATACAAGCAATATTGTAGAATAACCGAGATACACACACATCACAAAAAAAAATCAGATAGAATTACTCATGTGGAATAAAATAAACTGGACACTGAGGGCCTTCTGGCGGTTCCCTCCTTGCGAGAAGGGAGGGTACAGGGAACAAGGCAGAGGGCCTTCTCGGCAGTGGCGCCCACACTGTGGAATGCCCTCCCATCAGATGTCAAGGAATTAAACAACTATATGACTTTTAGAAGACATTGGATGGCAGCCCTGTATGGGGAAGTTTTTAATGTTTGATGTTTTATTGTGTTTTTAATATTCTGTTGGGAGCCACCCAGAGTGGCTGGGGAACCCAGCCAGATGGGCGAGGTATAAATAATAAAATCATTATTATTATTTGGTGTTCAAAGTTCCATAAATGGATGTGGGGGCTTTTTCCTGTTTCTCATTCACATGCAAGTAAATGTGTATTGCTAAGTAACCATGTTGCAGATAGCCTGTTAATCCATATCCTCTGACTGTTGAGGTTCATTGCAAATGGTTGGTAAGATTACAAAGGTGGAGGGCAAGGTGCATGACACACAGCTCTATTCTCCAGCAGAAGGGTATGCTCAGGGAACTCAGGAGGAAGAGCTGAAGGGCACCACCGCCTTGTAGCTTCCTCACTCTGCCTAATAGTAGGACTGGCCCTTATGCTATGGTTGGGACAAGCCTCAGGGCAGGTATGAACAGACTAGATGACCCTATGCACCAAAACTAAGACTTGACTTACCTAACTCTCAAGAACTACTGTGGCTGCCTTGCCATACCTTCCAATTTATGCATGGTTTTCCTGTTGTCATTTCCTGAAAAGGGGCAAGTAAAGCAGAAAGAAAAGTTTCAACGTAGCTAAGAAAGAGAATCATCTTTGCAAGTGCCAGGAAAATTAAGCCGTGAAAGGAAATGCACTTAACTAGTGTGCTTATGAAACAAAGATGACACACCAAATAAAAAGTTTGAATTTGTTTGAAGAGCTTATGGGGGGTGTGCGTGTGGTGTTGTTATTTAATCCCCACTACTATTGAAATGAGCCCCTAGTCTCAAGTACTTTTCACATACCAGAGTGGTGAATTTCCACAAAGCCTGCACTGATGTTATGTATTTTCCTCCCAAGTGAAATGCTCTTTAGTAAGTAAACATGAGTATTAGATTGTGCTGTAGCTGGAGACAATGAGAAAACCCTCCATTTCAAAATACATCAGAAAGTAAATCATTTTTAAAAGCTTTGGATAATACTGAAGGGTTGAATCTCTCAAACCTGAGAACAGGCCCGGCGTGGTTTCCTTCTTTGCTTCTCATTTGCCTATTGTGCTTGATGGTACAAAACAAGTTATATATTGTATTACAATTGCGTTGCATATAATGTAGCAGGTACTTGAGTGCAACCTTCAAGAATTGCCCATAATTGTAAAGGCTATGTTCAGCATTTTGGTACAAAATTCCATTTGGAACACTTCAGAATGGATTTTATTTCTAGATCATTCAAACCACTCAGTGGTCCCTGCAATTGTTAATGGTCAGTGGCCAGGGGTGATGGGAGTTGTATTCCAGCAATATCTCAAGGACCACAAGCTCCTCAGCCCTGCTTTATAGCATAGTAACTGCAACAGCTTGGTTGTTTTCACATTGTCCACTTTCGATTGCAAGGACCTCTCTGTGTTCCCTATGTAGCTCTGTAAGATAACACACACACTAATGGTGTGGCAATAATAATAACAGCAACATCAATCCAGTATTTGCCAACATAGGGCATATACTCAGTATGAAATTACTAAATGAAACGTGTGACAAAGAGGCCATATATACAATGCAAACTGACTTAGCTGATGTGACCTTGTCTCCATTGCCCTGTTGGGTATCTGGCTTATGGCAAGCATAACTAGACTCCACTGGACAAAACAAAAGCAAAAAAACCACCCAGCTTGAAAAATTTAAAATTAAAGGTTTTAGCACAAAAGAGAAAACTCATCCCATTTCCACCAAAATATTAACAAACCTGTGCACAGGCAAACACAGAAGTCTAAAAGGCAGTATCTTCCGACTTCCCTAAATAAATAAATAAAACAGGTGTGTGATTTATTACCTATGCCAAGAAGTCATACATTGAATGGTTTAAAAAAGCAAACCAATTTTGCCATGTGGGGATTTATGAGTGCAAGAACATTTTATGGCATATCCAGATCAGTTTCTCATAGGGCAAATGTTTTCTTGTGGGGAAAACAAGGAGATGGATGTCTGTTTAATTCTAAGGATACCTCCACAACACACACACACACACACACACACACACACACACACACACACCCCAAAGGAGAAAATTCAGGGTGAGGTTATTTTTAAAGTCCGTGAGTTGCAGGATCCAAGCCAGGAGCAGGGTCTCTTATTAAAACTGTTAACATTCTAAATACCTCCTCACATTAAAAAAAGAAAGAAAGACTATTCACTTTAACCATGATGAGCTCTAGTTCCCAGATCATGCTCTGTCCCAAACTAGATGCAACACATCAGTCTTCCCTATATATTTTTTGGACAATAAGTCCCATTAGCTACGGCCCTTCAACATCCGGAGGGCACTGGGTTACAGAAGGCTGTAATACATCATGGTTGTATGTACCATTAAAATAAAATGAAAAGCAGAATCAGACACTTCCACTTTCAGGAGAGGAATGACAGGGGTGGGGATGCTTACCTATTTCCCCAGCTGCTTTTCTACTTATAGGAAGGGATGATGGGAGTTGTAGTTCAGCAATGTCTGGGGGATCAAATGTTCTCAGTCCCTGCTCTAATTTATTAAATGTTGCAGTTGCATTGAATTGGTAATATTCTAGGGGTGGTGGTTGTAACAGCATTTATTATTCAAGCCACACGGTGTTTTATTTTATTGCATTGCTAGAAATATTGATATAATCCTTTCCCCCACTATCTTAATATTGCTTTTGCCAATAACTCACAGATTTCGGCTGCAACCTATTAACACTTACCTGGAAGAACGTCTCACTGAACCGCAAGGGGCTTTACTCCAAGTAGACATTAATAGGACCACACTGTTCAGGTGCTGGATACTGTCCCCCGGAAGTAGCCCCTCAGCTGTAAGTAAAAAACAACAACCAAAAAAAAAAAACAAATCCAAAAGAGTTAAATGCACTTTGGCAGAAAATTGTTGAGTGGGTTTAACTTACAACGATAAACAATAAATAATATAGTCTCTCTCTCTGAACACTACAGAGGCACGTGCATTCTCTTCCATTGATTTTATCACTTCATCACACACAGCAAATCTGAGTCAACATGAGTGGCAAGTCTCTGAGGTAAAAAACGAACAAGTCAAGGCCATGGAAGCAGATCACATGCTTAGGAATTTGTCTATTGTAACCATAATGAGGTGGCCTATTGACTCCAAGGAGACAATTCAGATATACAATGTGCCCACTAAGGAGGTAGTGGATGTCTCTTTTTCTCCCCATTCCCCCCCCCCCCGCCCCTGCCACATCCTCCTAGAGTAAAACATAAGTTGAAGAGGTGAGGAACATTTTAGAGAGGCAGGTAGAATGATACATGCAGATACCACAGGCATCAGTGCACCCACCAGCACTTCCCACGGCCCCCACAGAAAGTCCATCTCTTTTTTAAAAAGCATTTTTACAATTTATATACTCATCATTCATCATTTATCTCTTGTCCTTGGGCTTCCCAATCCATCTCTCCATGGCAATTTAGATAGTCTTTTGTTGGCTGCATATTCTATTATTCCACCCATTTTTGTCTCAAATCTTCCTTTATTTAGTGTTCTCTGCTGCTCATATGTTCATTCCTACTTGTAGGTTAAATGGACTATTATACCCTCTAAGACACTTTTGTAGAGTACCCATGGAAAGTCTCATTAAATATCCCCTCAAAAATCCACAATGCAAGAGAGACAGCTTTTTCTCCCTCGTCAGTTCCTGTTTGCAGTGGCCTGGCCTATCAAACAGTGACCACGCCCACTTAAAAATACTCAAATTTCACTGGATGACAGCCACCCACCCTCCTTTGTGTTCAGAACAGAGGAGACTATTTCTCTCCGTGAGAGAACACAGTGGTGGTTGATGTTATTGTCTTTTTTTCACTGGGGAGTGCTGATGGGGAACATGTTATGCCATAACATGCATGACAGCCATTTTGAGCTATGCCATGATGTCATTGTCCATTATGCCACATCCCCATGACAACCATTTTGTGATTGGCATTATGATTATTATTATTACAGTCGTACCTTGGAAGTCGAATGGAATCCATTCCGGAAGTCCATTCGACTTCAAAAACATTTGAAAACCAAATTGCAGCTTCTGAATCAGAAGCCGCCCCCACAACACACTTAAAAGCATATCGGCTGTTAATCTGCCAAAGCAATTTATCAAAATGTAAAATGTGCCCACTTTGATACAACACCATTTCAGAGATTGTCTAGTTTGGTAGAAAAGAAATACTCATTGATGAAACTATTTGTTAAAACATTATGACAGCAATCGCTAATGTGGCACCCTGAGATGTCATTGCACTACAGTTCCCACCAGTCCCAGCCAGCATGACCCACGGGCAAGGATGTTGGAAGTAGCAGTCCAACATTTGTCTAGCCCCGCATCACAAATACGCTTGAGGACATTTATTTACATTCCAATACATAGATTGCGTAAAATACATTATCCTTCAAGCAGCCAAACGTCTGTGCATTTTCGGATATCCAGTTTCACTGCTGACTTTATGCTCTGCTCAAGCACCACCACTAGTCCCAGTAAAATGAAACATCAGGCCAAATTTTCCTCTCAATTACACTTCTGCAACAGCATTTTAGTAGTCAAGGTTTTATTCCCACATAAATTTGATTTCATCGGCATTTGAAGAGAGCAACAGAGACAATGGCTGACTAGTTGATTTCAGATTTACATTCTCTAAATACAAGGGCATATGGTCTGACTTGGAGGGGGATATCAAGTGCTCACCAAAGCCAGACACAGTTCATGAAGAGGAGTGTAAAATAGCACATCAGTGGCTTGGTCACAGTCATTTAACATCTGCTACACTCATGTTAATTCAAGTTGGTCATCGCACGAAAGGAAAAGGGGGGGGATCACAAATGCAAGCTAAGGCAACTGCTCAGGAAATGATGTTGCATATGAGGCCTGAGTTTGACTGACGCTGGAAACCCCACCCCCACTTTTTTAAAGGGGGAGTGTAACCTCTGTTGCATCTTCATTGGGTTGCACTGAACTTTCAACCAGGATTCCCCTCCCCCCCAGTTTCAAAGGAGATGGTAAAGTGTCCCAAAAATACACAAAAAGCTTGCATACCTTTTCGTGAAAGGTTTATATATATACAGCTGTCGTCTTCCTGGCCTCATCTGCTGTTTGGGCACCGTGTGTGTGTGTGTGTGTGTGTGTGTGTGTGTGTGTGTGTGTTAAAAAGGCAGCTTTCTTTCTGAACCCATCCCAGCCAATCATGGATCACAGAACAATGCAATGGCATTGTATCAACATTCAGCAATTCAGATTCATCCGTGTAATGAGATCACAAAGGCAAATCAGAGTGAGGATATTGTCCTAATTCCAAATGGCATTATGTTGTAGGACAGGCATCCCCAACCTGTGGCCCTCCAGATGTTTTGGCCTACAGCTCCCATGATCCCTAGCTAACAGGACTAGTGGTCAGGGATGATGGGAATTGTAGTCCAAAACATCTGTAGGGCCGAAGGTTGGGGATGCCTATTGTAGGACATTGGGAAGAGGGAAGCCTGCCCTAAAAGAGACTGAAAGCATCTCGTTGCTTAGCGTAAATTGTGGCAGCAGAGTCACCTGGTGGATTGGGGAGAGGACTCTGAATGACATCTCACTCCAGCATCCTCCCTCTTTTGCTGCCAGCCTCACCTTTTATAGTAATAAGTCCATTGTTTGATATTATTCATGAGCTTCTGGATTCATCACTGATCGTATTAGTGTGAACTGCTTTGAGAACCATTATACAAATGCTAGTCAAGACTCGCTTTATATCCAGTTCTAATTTAATTTCCATCAAGAAAAATCGTAACAGTTGGATGTGAAAATTCTTGCATATGCTGCCAAAGGGGGAGGGGGATAGATGGTGCTGGATGTGCAACGCTGTAGAGTTTTGTGCCCAAAGCCTGCAAAGAGCACCAGGGGAAACTGACAAGGGAACACAGCAGCAACCACCCCTAACCCTCTCTCTCTATAGCTAGTGCTGAAAAATCTCTCTTCACCGTAAAAGTGAAAATGAAAAGGGATTTAAAACACCATGGCAGTTTCACCTCTAGACTGAAGGCATTTCTCCCAATGCAAACTTCTCAGTTTCATCTTTCCTCCGAGTGAGGAGACCTCGCAAGGGCACAGTGCTTACCTAGGTTCCGTTCCCTTTGGAAGGAGGTCGCCAGAGGCTGACTGTCATTTTGTCATATTCAGCTGGTTTACAAATATGCAGGTTGAGCATGAGCTGGAGGCTCAGCTTCAGCATTCTAACAAACAGCCGCTGCTCCCCTATCAGATCTCCAAGGAAAACAGCTGGCAACCTAAGGATCTAACAGTTGGGCGGGGACCCTCTGGACAAATGTGGCTCTGCAGGCTTCTCCGTCTGGCTCTTCAGACTCTGCCCACATGGTTCCCCTGGGCTGCAGCCTTCACTGGCCCTGATCTGTGCACTGAGTGCTTTAAAGAACCATAACATTGTAGAGTTGGAAAGGACCCAAGGGTCATCTAGCCCAACTCCTTGCAATGCAGGAATCTTTTGCCCAGTGCGGGGCTCGAACCCATGACCCTGAGATTAAGAGTCTCCTGCTTTACCAGCTGAGCTATCCCTGTAGTGGAATGTGTTCCTGAAGTTCAGTAATGCTTTCCTGGATGGAGCATTGGGGTGGGGTGCAGAAACTAGCCTACTGTACAAACGTCACATTTACATTTGTCGCTCCACCCACATTTCCTTCTGGCCCCACCCACCACTAGCATGGGGCCTTCCGAATGTTGCCCAGAAGAGAACGTGGTCCTTTGGCTGGAAACGTTTTCCCAAACCTTTGCTAAGAGAACACAACCTCAGCTCTCTATCTCTTTCCCTTTCTTCAACCCAGTCTGACTCAAACTGTTTACGCAGACACAATGCTTCCTTCTCCTGGCCAGAGGGCTGGCAAATCTCCTCTGACTCTCACCAACGCTCCTTGGACCATTTTATTCATGGAAAACACCTGCTGAATATTTCAGGCTATTGGACGCTCTTTTGTCAAGTCCCAGACTCTCACCCACTATTGCCCCCAGGCCAACCTACGCTCACAGAAAACCCGCTCACAGAAACCTGATAGGAAACACAAAACAACATAATTTTCTGAGTTCAAGCAAAACATTGGGCTTTATTTAGTTCTCAGCACAAAGATGAAACTGAGTAACTTGAGGTGGAAAAGCCCCTTCACTGTCGAGGCAATATTTGACAAGGGGGTTCAATTTTTTGTCAGTTTCTCATCTATGGAAGGAAAAGGGCAAGCTGGCATGGGAGAGCTTAATAACTGTGTCAGCAATGCAATGCAGGATTCACAGGAGGAAAACACAGGGACCAACAGCAACAGTACCCCAGTTTGTTAACTTTTACTGATCGTAATATTCAGGGATTCCGGATAACACAACACATTTCACATTTCGTCCTATTTTCTTCTGTCAACGATTTAGGCAGAGCCAGCATCCATTCAAATATTCACCCATTCATTCAGTTTGTTATCAATAATAATACGCTGGGAGACTTAAAACAGAAACAATAGATGCAATAAGGGTTGTTGGAAGCAGGGCTACAAGGCACTTGAAGCAGGTGAATACTTGAATACTTGAAGCTAATACCCTTTAAAGATATATGAATGCATGAGTACGTTATATACACAACCTTCATGAAGACTTGCATGACAAAGGTGTATAAAATTATGGTGTGAAGAAAGCAGAATATTTTCTCCTCTCATAATATTAAAATAGGAGTCATCAGATGAAGCTAAATGGTGGGAGATCAGAGCAGATAAAAGGCAGCACTTCTTCACATGGTGCGTAGTTAAACTGTGGAATTTTTTACCATATCATGAAAACAACATACAAAAATGCATTATGAGAAACTGCTTGAAAAGAAATGTGTACTAGGATAAATTCTCTAATTTGCTGAAGGATTTCCATGATGAATATGGTAATCACAAATTGCTGCAGAAATTTGAAGAACTGAATTTAAGATTGTAAAAAATGCAAAAGTGGGGGAATGGAAATGGGCAGATTTTTTTCCCATCCCTCGCTATGGCTAAAGCCATTTTGCCATGCCCAATTACCCGTAGGGGTGAGTCAGCTCAGCACGGAGCTAGAAGGAGCAGAGAATGCAATAACTGAGTTGTACTGGGCAGATCCATATAGAAGGGTCAATGCAGAGACAGAATCAACTTCAAACAGAGCTGTTTACACACTGTACATTGAAAATACATCCCCCCAGGTCTGTGTGCACACCATACATTTGTGTGCGCAAAGCACATTTATAGTGCAATTTCCCCTCAAAAAAAAAAAAAATTCCTGGAAACAGTAGTTTAAGGAGACTGGGAACTGTCATTCTTTGAGGGGTAAACTGCAGTTCCCAAGATTCTTTGGAGGTGGGAATGTGCTTTAAGTGTGTGGTGCATGTACAACCAAGGAAAGTCTGCCCAAATGGGAACTGGAATGAAGATACAGATAGGCAGGATGATGGGCAGGAGAATAGAGGTGCTGGGAAGCTGGGAAGGGAACAGGTAGGCAGAGCAACAGAAGACAGGCAGGCATGCAGCTGGCAGGTGGGGACAAGAAACAACCAGAGTTATAAGACACTTCCTTATCTGATAACAACGGTCAGGTTGGGAACTTGAAAAGTATCCAGCATAGGGTCATATTTGAGCAACTTAATGCTTTTATGTAAAAACATTTTTTAAAAAAAAATCAGATTCAGTAATCTTGTTAGGATTGGTCAAATCCAGGCCAATCAAAAGGAGTAAAATCATCTTTCCCTTAAGTAGCAACAAGTATTACTATAAGTTGGTCAACTCAATATACACATACACAACTTTAAAAATAATCAGATCTCATGAAAAGAAATGCATGCTCCTGGTGGACAGGGGAGCATTCAGTAGACTTTTAACTTTATTTGAGTAGACTATACAGCCTAAGCAGTTTAATAAATCTGCACACTTTCCACACACAGAGAAGTGGGATCATTTGATTTTAATATGTATTGCTAATTTGCTTCACCCTTAGCAGTAACAGCGCAATAAACAAATGAGCCCTTGGGTCTGCAAAGATGTGCTTGCAATAGTCTCCTAGATGGATGACATCGTTATTATATGGCACTGCTATGCCCCAAAAAGGTTCTTGCCCCTTTTTATATCTGTTTTATTACTGATGTGCTTTATGATCTCTGTGGCTGCTATTTTTCCTTTCCAGCCTCTCTGTTGTAGGCTTAACTGTATACAGTCTGCTTTATATCTAATTGTTGGCCTTACTAATTCTTAAGATGTTGTGATTGCTGTAACTCATGTTTTACCTTGTATGGGTTGCTCATTTTTGCCTGTACCCAAGATCAGCAGGTGAAACGCTGGCTGTGGGCATGGAAGGCAGCAATCTGAAAACTTAGTTACTAGTCATTTACTTAGGGCACATCACCTGTCTTCCATGATGGAACTCAAGGCAGCATCCACAGAGTTCTCATGGGGCCTCGCATCTAAGCACTGGTCAAACGCAGACCTGCTTAGCTTCAATAAGGTGGCTGTATCATTGTCTCCAGACCATGTTTTCAGACTATGCCCTGGAAGTGATTTTTCAGTTTGTGAAAGCAAAGAAGGTATAGAAGGGTGGGGGGGTGGAGGACAATAGCCTGCTATTGGCCACAGCCTAGATCAGGGGTGGAAGGCAACTCCTATCATCAGCAGGGACTGATGGGATTTGGAGTCCAGCAGTATCTGGAGGGCACCAACTTATAATGGAAGCATGGACTAGAGGGATCACATGTATCAATATGCCAGGCAACGCAGGGCTAGAAGGCTGGATATGGAAGACAGACAACCGGCTTGATTGGTGATAAGACAGAGAAGGATGAGAGATGGCCTCTGGGACAGGAAAATTGGGATCCGTTTCATGTTTCCAGCAGCTCGTAGAAACAGAGAGGAACACTCACAAATGCAATGGAACAAATTGCATGGTGAGAATCTGGATTTTTCCACTGGTATGTGGATATCTGGATCACCATTCAAGGTTATGTTTTTTGATTGCAGGCAAAGCAGCCTCTCAGGCGTTCTGGAGTAATGGAGGTGTGAAGAGGACCCAGGAAGGGATGGCTCAAAGTCTGTCATCAAAATTCCCCCGGTGGCTCCTGCCTATATCTTTAGGCCCTAACAGGCTTACCTGGTGGTCTTACCTGGCAGAAGCAGTAGCAGCAGCGCTTAGTGGTTTGGAGCCACCTTTTATATTTCCCACAATGCCCCAGGGTGACACTAAGGCAGGGCACTGTGGGAAATTAAAATGGTGGCTCTAAGCTACACCATGTGGAGTGACCAGAGCAGGTATAGGAGTGGGCCTTCCCAGGATGCAGGGCCTTGGAAATTGTCCATGGGTGTCGCAGGCTGACGCCAGTCCCAGAAAACAATATGGTAGAAGTGGACTGTTTAGTCTACCCAAGGGACAGCAATAGATCGTAAAAATCCCTTGCAAGTTGCAAGTCAAAGTAGCAAGCTTAGTGTTTTTCCAATGATCATATTATCTGTCTCCTTTGAGCATTTCAGCAGCTTCCACACAGCATCCCTCATATTTTATCCCACATTTTGTGAGTCCCAAAGCTGCTATGAACAGAAGCATGCGTGATCTTTTTATATCGTTACTGAGTAGTTTATCATTTCACTGTTCCTCAATTTCAGGTTGCAATTCTCCTGTTCAATCATCCAATTACAGAACAAAAGCTCTATGAATCTGCTTACATTAACAGTTCCTCACTATGAATAATCAATATGCAATAGCTGCTGCAGAATAGTTACAAACCCCACTGGTGGGGATAGGGGGGTGGGCACACAGAATAAAATTAAACAAAAATTACACACCCAAGCGATGCCATTAAATTGATCACCTATATCCTGTCTTAATAAATACTCTTTTCCCGTTAAGTGTTTTTATACTTTTTAGAGCTTTTTAATTGCGCTGTTGTTCACATCCTTGTGATTATCACAGTGCACAGGTGTTTTATAAATACAAATCATCATTAAACCTCTTATATTTTACAGCCCAATCCTTAAAAGCAGTCTGCCAATGTAAGCCCCGTTCCATTCAACCACATATGTGTGAACAGAATGCTTTGCCATTCAAGCTGTAAGTTATTTCCCCCCAAGGGCCCTCTGTGTGTTAGAAGCACAGTCTTGGTATAACTGATTTTCCAATTTTCACATTACAAAGTAATGGGAAGCAGAATGAGAGCTTTCATTTTGCTTCCCCATAAACGTGGACCTACACAGTTTCAAAATTGACTGTAAGCAGGAACTCCTGTAATTAAGCTTCCACTGCAGTTGCTCTGTTTCTTTTTCTTGCTGGTATCCTTGCCGGATTTCGGTGGGGGAAAGCCTGTAGTCAAATGATGAAGCTGAAGCTAAGCTGGCCTTGGTCTGGGTCAGTGCCTGGATGGAAACTGGACATTATTATTATTGTTATTGTTGTTGTTGTTGTTATTGTTGTTGTTGTTGTTAGACTCCTCTGACTGGCTTGCCCTAGCTCGGGTTGCCCTAGCTTCCGACAAAATTAAAAACAAAAAAACCCCTCAAACATTCAAAAAGTCCCGGAAAACTGGTCCACATTATGCATTTAAAGCACATGGCTTCCCCCCTAAAGTATCCTGGAAATTGTAGCTTGGCCCTCACAGAGCTACAATTCCCAGCACCCTTAACAAATCACAGTTCACATGATTCTGCAGGGGGAAATCAAGGACTTTAAACACATGGCATGGACGTGAACCCCTTGGAGTTTTGTGAAGCAACAAAGTTGGAATAAAGTGTTGGTGCTGACCTTTAAAGTCCTAAACGGCCTCGGTCCAGCATACCTGAAGGAGCGTCTCCACCCCCATCGTTCTACCCAGACATTGAGGTCCAGTGCCGAGGGCCTTCTGGTTGTTCTCTCACTGCGAGAAGCCAAGTTACAGGGAACCAGGCAGAGGGCCTTCTCGGTAATGGCACCCGCCCTGTGGAATGCCCTCCCACTAGATGTCAAAGAGAAAAATAACTACCAAACTTTTAGAAGACATCTGAAGGCAGCCCTGTTTAGGGAAGCTTTTAATGTTTAATAAGTTATTGTATTTAAGTGTTTTGTTGGAAGCTGCCCAGAGTGGCTGGGGAAACCTAGCCAGATGGGCGGGGTATAAATAAATTGTTATTATTATTATTTACAATTGCATTTTAGAAATTTTTATTCTTCCTCCCTACAGGCTACACACCTGACTGATCCTGCTCAGAGCCTCCCTTGCATGCTTTTGCTTTTTTTAAGATGAGCAAAATTCCTTATGTGGTGTTTACAAAGCAAAATGTTAACCATAGCCGCTGGGCTGTAAGTCAGAGCTGGAACTAAAACAACCTTTGCAAAGCTGATGGCCTCCAAATGTTTCGGACTACAACTCACATCAGTTCCAGGCAGCCAGATTATAAACCCACCAGCAACCAATCCAGTGAGGAGGATAAGGCTGAACCGCCCTGTGTTTTGCAGGAAGAAAAGCTATGAAATTTCACAAAAGAAATTTCATTTCTTCAAGGCTTCAATTAAATTTTCTGTGCTGGGCTGATATTATTTGTTACTATTCCCTTTTGTCTGGAGAGGGGAAAAAATATTCAACCAGTGTTTCCTACCTGTCAAAACATATAGCTCTGAAACATGCTTTTCTGACAACAAACATGGCTGAGAATCTCCAAACAGCCCAGTGTGCTTGGAGAAGATGCATGCTGAGCATCACAAATAAAAGTTGGAGAAGTGAGTGGGGAGGGAGGGGAGAGAGGGAGAGGGAGAATGAAAGGTTAGATGGAAAGACAAAAGCAGATGACATGCTGGAATTTTTTTGGAACAAATAAGAAGAATATAGTACAAATCACATAACCGTCTGATCAGAGATGGGCAAAAACAATATCTGAGTAGATGTCCACAATCTAGATACGGAAGAAAAATACTCCTAATTTAGTTCAAATTTCAATATTTATCATGGACACACATTAGTGCTTACTAAGCTGCAATAAAAGGATCTTCGTCACCCAAAAGTGATCTCCAATCAAGATCAGAGGAGGGAATAGCTTGATGGTGGTGGAGATACAATTGGGCTTCCTACAGCCTAGCATAGAAACCAGAAGAGTGTCAGTCATGAGTAGGGGTGGGAAAGAAATTCAGTTCAGTTCACATTCAAATGAGGATTTACTTAATTTACACTTTCCGAACCAATATGCTGACTAGAACACAGGCCTCCTTTCAAAATTTGCACTTCTCTGAATTTTGCAAAGCACTTCTCCAGATACATAAAGTGTACAAAAATACACATACTAGGGGAAAGCGTTCATCAAAAATGTCTATAATAGGAAAAACTGCATACATTGGAAGAAATTTGCAGGAAAATATTGGTGCATTTTCATGAGGGCATTTTTTAAACAGATGTGGAAATGTGGAGAATTGGACTTGAGACTGGGGGAAAATGAGAAACTGATAGAAACCAAAATGGACAGATTCATTCACCCCTAGTTGCGAGTCCCTTCTGAAAAAAGCTGACCAGCTCCAGCTCTTATATACCAGGAATTTCTGCAAACCTCCACTTAACCTTCAGCCATTGCTCCCACTCCCTAAATTGCATGAGTTTGATGTCCCTCACTTCAGAATGAGTGAGTGAATAATGCAGCCCTTACCTTGAGAAACTTGTAATCTATATTTAGCAGGGTGGTAGGAACCCTTTGGCTTAAAAAACCTAAAGGAGAACAAAAGCACTCCCCCCCAGCCCAATTTTAAAATTCATAGAATTGTAGAGTTGGAAGGGACCCTGAGGGTCATCTAGTCCAGCCCCCCAATGCAGGAATCTAAGCTAAAGCATCCATGACTGATGGCCACCCAACATCTGCTTAAAAACCTCCAAGAGACCACAACCTCCCGAGGGAGTCCATTCCACTGTCAAACAGCTCTTGCTGTCAGAAAGTTCTTCCTGAGCCTTGAGCGGGGAAGGCTCCGGTCTCATCCTTGGCTTCCGCTCCCCATCCCAATTCTATCTTGCTTCCTAACTGGAGACGTGGGGAGGGAGATCTCATAAGACAGGTTTTTGTTTTTAAATGGAATGGGTATGAGTAGTCTGTTGCCGTAGCAAGAAGAGTGGCTTTGAATCCTCCTCCTGATGCAGAGAACCTCAAGGCCTTGGAAAGAGAGGAGGAGGAGGATCGCCTGTTTATATAAATCACAGGCGAAAATCAGTAGCTTAGCTGTATGTGACGGTCGTTCTATATAGGAGCGGAAGGAAATCGCCTTTCCAAAACTGCGCTCAGAATTGTTGTGAATAGAGGTTCAAATATGGCAATAAACTCTTCTTCCCATAAATTGCTTACATATCGCAGTGTCCCAGCACCAGCTGTTTGCAACACCATCAATCATAATAAAAGAATAAAATTTCAAACAAAAACAAAAACAAAAAACAGAAAGTTCTTCCTGAAGTTTAGCCAGAATCTCCTTTCTTGTAAATTAAATCCATTGGTTCGAGTCCTACTCTCCGGAGCAGGAGAAAACAAGATTGCTCCATCCTCCATGTGACCGCCCTTATGATATTTGAAAATGGCCCTCATATCTCCTCTTAGTCTCCTCTTATCCAGGCTAAACATACCGCAGTACCTGTACACTGAGTTGGAATTACATAACTAAGAGCACACTAGGCACATCTAAACACACACACAGTCTTCCAGCACTTATCCCCGTGAGCCTTTGCAGCCTGCTCTGCCACTTTGCAATGCAACTGAGTATTGTGAGTCGAGGACCCTCAGCTCGCTTAGGGATAAATAAGACACAAGGATGCATGTATTTTAGGTTAATGGGCTAAAGAAGGCCACAACTTTATTGGTTACAGCATGTGAGTGGTATTGGCTTAGGCACTGGATCAAACAATCTATACATGACTCCACCCCGCTCAGTGGGGAGTCATCCGAAGGTTAACAACCAGTGGGAGGAGCTTGTTGATACAAATACAACTGGAAGCTTCCCCTGATGTCACCAGGCGTTGTGTCATGGCCCTAGCCACCAGCAGGGCATCGGAAAGGATCTACAACCACCAGATTCCTTTAACAGAATACTATCCAACATCCTGTTCTCACAGTGCCTAACCAAGATGCCAATACCAAGCCCACAAGCCAAACCTGACCACAACAGTACTCTTCCCTGCATGTGATTCCCCCAGCTGCTGGTATTCAGAAGCAAAGCTCCTCTGACAGTGGAGACATAGTATTTAAGTTCACTGGGTCTACTCTGAGTAAATGTTAGTTGAATACAACCCATTGTGTGCACACATACAAAAACACATACCGCACACATTGGGATACCAATGTCTCTTGTACCTTGAAATGAGGCTATACCAAGTTTTGGCCAGCCCTGTCTGTCTGGGAAGATGATATACTCTGGGTCTTGACATACCCATTGTCCTCCTCCTTCCTGTGCTCACCTCCTGATGAAGCAGCCAATATACAGGCTGTCTTCTCCTTGGCCATTTCCTCATTGTCTCTAAATAGAGCACAGCAACCCAGACGTGGTTCCTGAGGTCAGGAATGCCCATCACAGGACAACTGGGTCTCATCAGTGAACTTACAGCAGCCCAGCAGCCTCAGTGACCCACCAAGAACAACGATTGCTAGCAGTTGTCTTCATGGTCATGGCTGCCCCATGGGTGAATGTCAGATTGCTGCTTTGCCCAGATGGTTGCTGCAGGCTCAATGGGGCTTTCCTCGTGGGCAGGGACACTCACTGAGAGAGGAAGTCTAGGAAGCTCCTCTGTTATCTATCGGTTCCAGTATTGTCTCGTATGATTGGAAGCAGCTCTCTGGAGTCTCAAGTAAATGAGATCCCTTTGCCTGAAGATGCCAGGATTGGACCTGGGATGCATTACATGGCCCCATCTAGAAGAAGCCAAATGCAACTCCTTCCTTTTACAGCCTCTACACTATTTTAACTGGGAAAGCAATGAAGCAATTACATTATTTATGGATAGCAAATCATAGAAAACAAATTATCTGCAAGTTGGATGCTCACAGGGAATTTTCCTTGGCACACAAACACAAACAGATATATATGTATCTATACAGAAACATTTTGAAAATGGATAATAAAATGCTTCAGTTTTTTGTTGTTGCATGCTGTCAAAAAGGTCTTAATGTGTGCTTGTTTCAAGAATTATTTTTCTCCCCTGCTCTTTGTTTGCTAAAGTAGCTTAGCAGCAGTAATAAAGAGTGGAAGTATCAGCTTCAGTGCACCAACAAAATGAGCATTCACAAAAACTATTTTCCTTCACAATATATAGAGAGCTCCTTTTCTTCTTCTTCTTCTTTCCCTTCTCTCTGTCTCTCTCATGGTTTCTGGGCTATCTTTTTTTAGGGTATCTCTCTAATTTCATTGAGACTGCTCTGCTGAGGTATGATACTATAGTTCAGTAGCAATAGGAAAGTTAGCCCGAAAGAGCCAGCTTGAAACTACCGCAAACTGTTTTCACTTCTTATGTTTAACATTTCATCTCAAAGGGCTCTTTGCTCTTTCTGTGAGTTACAAGGCATTACTTTGTCTCTATTGTGCTTTACTGTTCTAAGGTGCCTCATTGACGGCAGTGAAGTAGACTACAGTGTGCCAACTGGAGGCTGGCAAAAGTTTTTTAAAAATTTGGTTGAACTTAGCCTACACCCCTCAGGAGCGCTCACTGATACAGGCAGACAGTCTTTCCCTTATGCTGCCCTATTATGATTGATGTGGGGTGATAATATACATATGTCTATTTAACCAGACACAGTGTCATTAATCATGGCACCCCAGGTTGTACCTCTATATAGTTTCACCTTTGGCAATAAAAGGAATCCCAGAATGCTACATTGTTGTAGCTGGCAGGTTAAAAAATCTCACCTAACCTTTACCAGGGGGTCCCAGGGCAGGTTACAACAATTTTAAAATACGATATTAAAACAGTTAAAGACAATTACAGTCTAGAGCAGGGTTTCCCAAACTTGGGTCCCCAGCTGTTTTGGGGACTACAGTTCCCATTGTCCCTGACCACTGGTCCTGCTAGCTAGGGATGATGGGAGTTGTAGTCCAAAAACAACTGGAGACCCAAGTTTGGGAAACCCTGGTCTAGAGAATAGAGTGGGTGCTAAGATATAGGTCTCAGGTACCAAAGGGTAAAGAGGTGCAGCCTCAGCATCTGATGGAAACTACTTGATGAAGGTATAATAATAATGATAATTTAATTACTTGTACCCCGCCCATCTGACTGAGTTGCCCCAGCCACTCTGTGCGGCTTCCAGCAAAATATGAAAACACCATAAAATGTCAAACTTTAAAACTTCCGTATACAGGGCTGCCTTCAGATGTCTTCTAAAAGTCATTTAGTTGTTTATCTCCTTGACATCTCAGTAGAGGGTGCTCCATAGGGCAGGCACCACTACCAAGAAGGGCCTCTCTCCGCCTGGCTCTTCGTAATCTCACTTCTCACAGTGAGGGAACCGCCAGAAGGCCCTCAGAGCTAGATCTCAGTGGAAGCACTCCTTTGGGAATATTATACACACCTCTGTGTTGGTAGGA